TTGTGAACAACTTTGAGCCATGTTAAGAATAGTCTGCAACCATTATTTCTTAGCGTTTCCACGACACAAACCCGGCAGTTGACATCCAACTAACAGTCAAGGACTTCAGCGATTGAGGCCAGATTTTGATTTCATCACACCTAGCCTTCTCCAACCTAATCCTATACCAAATAACAATTCATGAGGAGGTAGGCGATCGCCTGACATGCGTAACACGTGTCCAAGCCATCTCACTCGATGAAGCTTCATAGACTCATCACCTGACTTCCCCTCCCCACCTAACACTCGACACCTGATCTACCTAAATATAACTCACCGTATTACACCGGTTAAGACGGGAGAAGGGACTCAAACACCTATGGTCAAAACACATATCTTCTCCCGCTCACAACGGTCATGTCTCACAGCCGTTAAAAGGACGGAGTGAATCACTGTGCAGTACATACATCCTTTGATAGATAGACGGAGATCATGTCTATGCCAGAGATGAGACAAGTCGACAAATCCGAAACTAGTCTGTTGTATTCATGATGAGATTTCGTCAACAATCAATCCATTAGGGTGTATGCAACTTCCTAAATAAGTGAAATGGTTAACACACTGAACCGTCTCACTCGCTATCTTTAAACTAGTAGTTAGTCAGCAAAGACCACTCGTGAAGTATCATCTTACATTTGGCAGTGACGGATTTTATGTAGGGAAGCGATTGGCTTTGATATGAGTCCGCATTTAACAAAAATAGTCTATGCGCGCGATTATCTACACGACAGAATTCTAGGTGGGTGGACACATACAAGGACAAGAAGCCGCATTCACTTTAGCACGCCGATGCCTAGATCGTATGCTTGTCTCTCACCGACTCCTTGAACGTCCTCATAAATATTGAAGGCGAAGAATTGTTATTTCTTGATGTTGGAGCCAGCATTGACTCGATAGACCTAACTACCATTAGGAAATGTATCTTGAAGAAGTGTATCAATCACTGCGAAGTCTGCCAACATCTCTAAAGAGCTATTTGAAACGCCTTGGAAATGGAGGGGGAGAGAGTGAGAGTGAGAGAGAGAGAACATCCAGTGACTTTGCAGAACCAGATATAGTGTTTACTCAAGTTTGCTAGCCTCGACATTTTGAAGGCTAGCTACTCTGAAGATATGCTAAATGAAGGAATCCCTACTATTCAGCGATATTTTCTCATTTCACACTGACAATGCACAAAGTAACTTGGAAGATTGGCGACAGCCTGAGTGAGATATTACTCACGTAGGTAGAGGCACTACAGGAAGTAGTCAAATATTTCATGTATTCAAGAGGTAGTGTAGGTATGACAGTTGAGATTATCCGGTGTATATCGAAATCCGAAATGGCATGTGTCAAATAAAATAGTCTCCAAGATTACGATGTGAATGTGGTTATCGAAGGTCGACTTTCGAAAGGGTTGGTGTATGCAGTTTCTCTCCGTACTGGCAAAATCTGACACCTTCTCCAGTCCCTGAAAATCTTTAATATTTGTCGAATTATCTACCCCCTTATCCAAATGTTAATCAATTGAAGTATCACTAAGTTTCTGTGCTCTTTTCTCACCTGCTCTACACAAGTTTGATAACTTAGAATGATGCAGCTGTATGAAAGCTTTTACACCGATGCGTCAGTCAGTGGTAGTCAAACAAGACTGGCTGAGTTTCCAAGGTAGAACTCTGCATAGAAGCTCAGCAGTTTAAGTTTCAATACTTCACAGAAGTACACAAACGTCGAAGAGGGACGCAAAGGAAATATAATAAGCGAAAGGGTAGGCAAGAACTAAGTCGATGCAGTTCATACAGTGGAAGCATGTGCACCCTTGTGAACAACTTTGAGCCATGTTAAGAATAGTCTGCAACCATTATTTCTTAGCGTTTCCACGACACAAACCCGGCAGTTGACATCCAACTAACAGTCAAGGACTTCAGCGATTGAGGCCAGATTTTGATTTCATCACACCTAGCCTTCTCCAACCTAATCCTATACCAAATAACAATTCATGAGGAGGTAGGCGATCGCCTGACATGCGTAACACGTGTCCAAGCCATCTCACTCGATGAAGCTTCATAGACTCATCACCTGACTTCCCCTCCCCACCTAACACTCGACACCTGATCTACCTAAATATAACTCACCGTATTACACCGGTTAAGACGGGAGAAGGGACTCAAACACCTATGGTCAAAACACATATCTTCTCCCGCTCACAACGGTCATGTCTCACAGCCGTTAAAAGGACGGAGTGAATCACTGTGCAGTACATACATCCTTTGATAGATAGACGGAGATCATGTCTATGCCAGAGATGAGACAAGTCGACAAATCCGAAACTAGTCTGTTGTATTCATGATGAGATTTCGTCAACAATCAATCCATTAGGGTGTATGCAACTTCCTAAATAAGTGAAATGGTTAACACACTGAACCGTCTCACTCGCTATCTTTAAACTAGTAGTTAGTCAGCAAAGACCACTCGTGAAGTATCATCTTACATTTGGCAGTGACGGATTTTATGTAGGGAAGCGATTGGCTTTGATATGAGTCCGCATTTAACAAAAATAGTCTATGCGCGCGATTATCTACACGACAGAATTCTAGGTGGGTGGACACATACAAGGACAAGAAGCCGCATTCACTTTAGCACGCCGATGCCTAGATCGTATGCTTGTCTCTCACCGACTCCTTGAACGTCCTCATAAATATTGAAGGCGAAGAATTGTTATTTCTTGATGTTGGAGCCAGCATTGACTCGATAGACCTAACTACCATTAGGAAATGTATCTTGAAGAAGTGTATCAATCACTGCGAAGTCTGCCAACATCTCTAAAGAGCTATTTGAAACGCCTTGGAAATGGAGGGGGAGAGAGTGAGAGAGAGAGAGAACATCCAGTGACTTTGCAGAACCAGATATAGTGTTTACTCAAGTTTGCTAGCCTCGACATTTTGAAGGCTAGCTACTCTGAAGATATGCTAAATGAAGGAATCCCTACTATTCAGCGATATTTTCTCATTTCACACTGACAATGCACAAAGTAACTTGGAAGATTGGCGACAGCCTGAGTGAGATATTACTCACGTAGGTAGAGGCACTACAGGAAGTAGTCAAATATTTCATGTATTCAAGAGGTAGTGTAGGTATGACAGTTGAGATTATCCGGTGTATATCGAAATCCGAAATGGCATGTGTCAAATAAAATAGTCTCCAAGATTACGATGTGAATGTGGTTATCGAAGGTCGACTTTCGAAAGGGTTGGTGTATGCAGTTTCTCTCCGTACTGGCAAAATCTGACACCTTCTCCAGTCCCTGAAAATCTTTAATATTTGTCGAATTATCTACCCCCTTATCCAAATGTTAATCAATTGAAGTATCACTAAGTTTCTGTGCTCTTTTCTCACCTGCTCTACACAAGTTTGATAACTTAGAATGATGCAGCTGTATGAAAGCTTTTACACCGATGCGTCAGTCAGTGGTAGTCAAACAAGACTGGCTGAGTTTCCAAGGTAGAACTCTGCATAGAAGCTCAGCAGTTTAAGTTTCAATACTTCACAGAAGTACACAAACGTCGAAGAGGGACGCAAAGGAAATATAATAAGCGAAAGGGTAGGCAAGAACTAAGTCGATGCAGTTCATACAGTGGAAGCATGTGCACCCTTGTGAACAACTTTGAGCCATGTTAAGAATAGTCTGCAACCATTATTTCTTAGCGTTTCCACGACACAAACCCGGCAGTTGACATCCAACTAACAGTCAAGGACTTCAGCGATTGAGGCCAGATTTTGATTTCATCACACCTAGCCTTCTCCAACCTAATCCTATACCAAATAACAATTCATGAGGAGGTAGGCGATCGCCTGACATGCGTAACACGTGTCCAAGCCATCTCACTCGATGAAGCTTCATAGACTCATCACCTGACTTCCCCTCCCCACCTAACACTCGACACCTGATCTACCTAAATATAACTCACCGTATTACACCGGTTAAGACGGGAGAAGGGACTCAAACACCTATGGTCAAAACACATATCTTCTCCCGCTCACAACGGTCATGTCTCACAGCCGTTAAAAGGACGGAGTGAATCACTGTGCAGTACATACATCCTTTGATAGATAGACGGAGATCATGTCTATGCCAGAGATGAGACAAGTCGACAAATCCGAAACTAGTCTGTTGTATTCATGATGAGATTTCGTCAACAATCAATCCATTAGGGTGTATGCAACTTCCTAAATAAGTGAAATGGTTAACACACTGAACCGTCTCACTCGCTATCTTTAAACTAGTAGTTAGTCAGCAAAGACCACTCGTGAAGTATCATCTTACATTTGGCAGTGACGGATTTTATGTAGGGAAGCGATTGGCTTTGATATGAGTCCGCATTTAACAAAAATAGTCTATGCGCGCGATTATCTACACGACAGAATTCTAGGTGGGTGGACACATACAAGGACAAGAAGCCGCATTCACTTTAGCACGCCGATGCCTAGATCGTATGCTTGTCTCTCACCGACTCCTTGAACGTCCTCATAAATATTGAAGGCGAAGAATTGTTATTTCTTGATGTTGGAGCCAGCATTGACTCGATAGACCTAACTACCATTAGGAAATGTATCTTGAAGAAGTGTATCAATCACTGCGAAGTCTGCCAACATCTCTAAAGAGCTATTTGAAACGCCTTGGAAATGGAGGGGGAGAGAGTGAGAGTAAGAGAGAGAACATCCAGTGACTTTGCAGAACCAGATATAGTGTTTACTCAAGTTTGCTAGCCTCGACATTTTGAAGGCTAGCTACTCTGAAGATATGCTAAATGAAGGAATCCCTACTATTCAGCGATATTTTCTCATTTCACACTGACAATGCACAAAGTAACTTGGAAGATTGGCGACAGCCTGAGTGAGATATTACTCACGTAGGTAGAGGCACTACAGGAAGTAGTCAAATATTTCATGTATTCAAGAGGTAGTGTAGGTATGACAGTTGAGATTATCCGGTGTATATCGAAATCCGAAATGGCATGTGTCAAATAAAATAGTCTCCAAGATTACGATGTGAATGTGGTTATCGAAGGTCGACTTTCGAAAGGGTTGGTGTATGCAGTTTCTCTCCGTACTGGCAAAATCTGACACCTTCTCCAGTCCCTGAAAATCTTTAATATTTGTCGAATTATCTACCCCCTTATCCAAATGTTAATCAATTGAAGTATCACTAAGTTTCTGTGCTCTTTTCTCACCTGCTCTACACAAGTTTGATAACTTAGAATGATGCAGCTGTATGAAAGCTTTTACACCGATGCGTCAGTCAGTGGTAGTCAAACAAGACTGGCTGAGTTTCCAAGGTAGAACTCTGCATAGAAGCTCAGCAGTTTAAGTTTCAATACTTCACAGAAGTACACAAACGTCGAAGAGGGACGCAAAGGAAATATAATAAGCGAAAGGGTAGGCAAGAAACAAGTCGATGGAGTTCAGACTTTGGGAGGATAATATTTCAATGTTTTTGAATGGAAAATTCTGTGTTGACATTGAAAATTGTATTATGGTTTATAAAAGATATAATAGAAAAATATGACGAGGAATCTTCACGTTAAGATGGCTAGAATACTTTGAATATAAAAATTTGTGAGGAATATAATATGAACAGACAACTTTTGAGCGTTATGTCTGCATTCTCGTATTGCTCTCTGGATTTTAGTCTCGGAATTTGAATTTCACTTTTAATAAATACCGCAGGCGAATTTGATTCACGTGATAAACGATATATTCGTTGTATAGAAGGACACATTGCTTCGCCTCTGGTTCAGGTGCCTCAGTTAATTTTCCGCAAGGCACAACGACACCATCATCTCTGCAGATAAGAAGAAATAATCACTATCGTAAGACAAAAGAGATATTAACTTTTATGAGGAATATATAAAGCTGTGAGAAATTGAAGAGCTATATGGGTTATAACGTAGATATTTAGCGCTGAAGCGTCTTTAGTCATCGGTTGCTCATTCAATTTTTATATAAGTAAAATATTAATAGTTTTTGACGGAGGTCAATGTTGTAAAAAGGCAAGCATTATAAAGTGTTGTAGTGCTTGGATAGTCTACATATCCAAAAGATGAGGTTAGTGTATGAAGAAGATATAAGCTGATAAAAACGGATTTTATGTAACTGTCATTAATAGATTCCGAAATGTCCATAATTTCTCTTAGAGGTAGGTATTTTCGCTAATTTACCCTTACAAATGACCATCAAACATGAGTAAATGCTTTAACGATGTCTACTGAAGTTTTTCACTTCTATATGTTAGTGGTAGTGCCTTCGCATGTAGTGGATATTGTTTAATGATTGTATGGGAAAATTAATGCATGATTCACCCGTATGAATGACAAAATATTATCTTGCATTTATTTAGTAAATGAACTCGATCTGAAAGTAAGTTTTCCTTCTCATGAATAGCTAGGATTCTCAAAATCTTTGGTTTGTTTATCCAAAATTACCTATGTTTACAGTAATTTCTATCCAATACTCTGTAACTTGGGTAAATGTCGAATTTTTGCATATCAGTGCAAGCATTTCACTCTAAACTAATTAGTGACGTATTTGTTGCTTTGTGTTATATCAGAAAAGAAGCAATCTTAACTTACAAAGTTTTCCATGTGTCCTGAGTTGTTCGCCATTTTCCAACTCCTTTTACACTGTTAAAACCGGATAGACTGTCTGTGACATTAGAACATGCACGATAAAGCTCTCGTTGCTTACCAAGTGAAACCTATTTTACCAAGAATATGTAAACATAGAGTAGTAAAACAATATTTAAATTTAAAAAACACGAAATGTTTAAAATGCTAATTTTTAATGCGTCACATTGACAATCGGCGACTGTTTATGCAAAAGATTGGTATTATCAAATACATTTTGCACCTCCTAATTAAGCACTTTTTCAAAATTGCTGAGGATAATAAAAATAATAAAATTAGCCCCCATGACGTTTCCACACTGAAAATAATTTACGGGCAAGATAACCAGGTAATATTAGTTGGTGAGACCAGGAACACAACAAAATTATCTGAAACAGATACATACACGAAGTTCGAATCTCTCGACATATTCATAAGACTTAATGACATCTACGTGCAAAAGCAGGCTCTACTAAAAAATCGGTCAATGGAGAATAGCTAATTACAATTACTTTTGAATTTTTTATAATGTTCTACATTAAAACCCAGCATTATTACTTCAATAACAACTGATTACCAAGAGGCGAGCAAAATAACGACACAAGGAGAAAAAACATCAGTATGTGTTTGGTGTACAGAAGGAAAATAATATCGTTGCTTAGTTGAATTCAAAATTGAGTACACAGGAATATGTATCTGTTATATATCGTATTATTTCAGGCTTGCGAATCATCTTGGATCCGATTGATTAATCCAATCAAATATATCGCTATCTATCAGCGATACGACACAATGAGATAAAATTAACACCTGGAAAACTACTGGGTTATATAGTTCAGTTTATAGATAAATTATTTCCTTACTTCAGTCATCGTTTATGCAGTCAATATGTGCCACGGTTAGCATATACCTTATAAAATAAGTGAACAATCGTCTCGCATTATGACATGGTGAAAATCTCAATGAAATGCATTCAAAGTATTAAATATAACAGATCATGAGTGAATGAATAGTGCGGCTTACCTCACATGCAAGCATCAGTCCAACATTTTGTAGCTGTGTTGGATATACATAATTGGCCGATTTCGATGAACAATCAGCAAAATATACACCCTTACCGAACATATATCCGCTGCATGGCGCTTCAGGTGGAGCTATTTGTAAACCTCTTCCTAAAATACCAACCCAATTGCTGAGACGACTTCCATGCCAAAGAAGCATTCTGAAGGAAGTAATGATAATAATACACACGTTTTGAAAGGACGCTGTTATGACATTATAGTTAAACTGTAAACAAAAGCCTGAATAGTTTTCACCGAGGAATTATGTACCTACCTAGCAATCTTGTGCTTGATGCGAAGCTTGGATAGACGATCTTCCTATCTGCTTCAGGACTAGACGCGTGCCAAGAAGGTAACTGTTTTATTTGAAAAGTGATTATTAACTGTGCCATATCGTATTATCTCTAACTTAACTTATCTATTCATTCAGTTATTTATGAGATAAGTTAGTTAGTGAAGTCATAAACCCACAGTCATTAAGGCGACCAGAGTATCTAATAACTAAAACGAGTATTCACCCCATCGTATGATGATCGGTGAATGTCTTAGAATGCGAAATGGAATGGGTGAACGATGTAAGACATACCTTCAGTCCATGAAGTACTTAACTGTCGACCTAAAACGTGTAACAGTGATATCCATAAGATGAGTGGAACCAATTACTAGAGAACATAAGTAGTACAGTTAGGAATTGATTCGGCTGATAAGGATGCAATTATCTTGTTGCTGAATATATGACATTCACCTCTGTCTTGCATTTGATTTTCTAATTTATTTGCATTTATGAGTCGTTACACAGCATAACTTTCAATTAATTAGACAGCCATAATAGAACACCTTGTCAACACCTGTCACAGGATCTCAACTGACTCATCTTTCAGAGTCATTAACAAAGTGAACAAAAATCTACCAAAGGCTGTAAAGTTTCCGACTCCTTTGTACTGTAGAAGCCTTTGCCATATGCTTCGGAAAACCGGAACTGTGTGTTTAAAAGAAACTGGTTCAACCCCTAAATTTACTGTAAACTTCGCTCGGTTGGTCTCCTTTCGTTCAACTTTTTCATCCCCTTCATTTCCCTTTTTCAGTTTTAAAATTATTATCCTGCCAACTTATTCCCATACTCATTCCATTCACACTTTTATTCGTTAAAAACTATTTTCTGATCCTGTATAATTTTGTTTCCAAGCCCCTTGTAATCTATACTCACACCATCGAACTTCCATATCAAGTTAAAATTAAAATTTAATTTCTCAAGTTATCAAATATTAATTTTACATACATTGTAACTGTTTTCTAATCATATCTAGTCTTGTCTCTAAGCCCTTATAGTCTATATTCAGACATTCAAACTTTCATATCAAGTTAAAATCTATTATGACCCTTTATCATCTTCTTTACTACGTGGAATTGGACAAATAACAATTGTATCCATGTAAACCTATGCATATAAATTAGATTGTACAACTTTTGAGAATGAAATCGCAGAATAGATATCTTCCCTGAACTTCTTGTTTGTTTCCCTCTTATGTCCCGATGGGTATTTTCCACGAATTAATTATCTGTCTACTTGTTCACAACCGAAAAAAATGTATTTATGATGCGCATTTCAGCTATTAAAGTATTGAGTTGTATAAAACAATCTTAGTTACCTATTTCCGTAATCTTTGAAGTTCTCTCGTTCTGTTGACTTTTGGCATTCAAATATGTCTAATATCTCCAGTGTGTACAGAGTGTGAGTAGAACCATGAGTTTCTTGCAGGTAGTCAGTTAGCAGCTTGAAAATGTTGAGTGAAAAATAAAAATCACGTCAATATTAAAACTCGAATTAAATTAAAAGTAACAACGGTATATATGCAACTATTGATAATAACTTTTCTAACGAAACAATCAAAGGAAAAAGAGATAATCTACTTTATTTGTAGGTAGATTTGATACCACATTCTGTGAAGGACTGTTGTCATAAACTTATAGCATTCTAAATTCATGGTGAATAAGAAATGAATCCCAAAATCCACATCATCTGATTTTTTATTAGGCACTGTTGATGTGAAATGTGGAAAAAGTGGCAATGACTGCATATTTTGAAAAAAAGGTAAGCTAATAACCTGCGTTTTCCGCTTATCCTTCTTCTAAAAACCTCTCAAATAAACCACTATGAAAGAAAAAGTGAACACAAAATAATTCAATGAACAGAGAGCGATGCCAGCATAAAATAAATACCAGTCTTACCGAATACATGGCATCAGTAGATCTCAGTGGCCGAATATCACAATTCAGTCGTTTGTAATTTACATCAATAATATTTTCCGTCGACGACTGATTATTTTTCAGAATGTTAACTGCGAATTCAATATCGGACAGAGCTTCCAATAATTCGATCTTCGACTTAACATCAGGCAGGGTGCGAATGACAGGTGGGATACGCATACTAGGAATAAAATGGTGAAAGATTGAACGGAATACATCTTAGGAACCATATGAAAAGAATAGTAAAACTCTCGACACCTGACCTCAGTACAAAAAAGACAAGACAAGACAAGCAGTCAAAATCACGATAATCCAGAAAAATGTGAAAATTGTAATAGAATCGCAAAAAGAAGACTCAGACGAACATATGGGTTGGATACGTTCCAGTTGATGCGATTCATACTGCCTGAAATGCCCAACTGTCAATTTTAGTTATGCTATAAATCGTCATGAAAAAGTCTAAATTTCGCTAACCTTCACAAATAAATTTACCCTAATCTACTAAAAATAATGTACTTTCTAAGTTAACTGTTTATCACCACATGCTAAAAGGTATGGTGATTGAGGACAATCCACATTGAATTTAGTAACTCTGTCAACCTTAGATACAGAAAATAAACTGGTGCACTCTGTTTTTGCAACATTAATTAGAAGAAAAAACTCAAAACCTAAAACCACAACATGTGATCATTACTCAAATAAACTTTACATCACAGAAAACAAAAACAAAACATGAAAGATTTAAAAGACATTTAATACCACACTTGTAAACATGAAGTGAATTGAAGTCCATGTCATCTTGTATTTTAGCCCTACTTCCAATAAAATACAGAACATAATGTGTTAAGACTACCGTGTCCAAAAGAGACTATTTCTGCCAGTCAGTAAAACTGTTGCTTTTTTCACTCCATGTAAGAAAGGTCTCAGAAACCGTCAAATAATTGCTTCACCTGTTTAAGATTGAAGTGACACACAAACACGCACCGACGGAATCATTTCACAATCTAATTTGTAAGGAACCTCAGCTTCCGACGAAAAATACACCGATTTAATCAAATATTATAGTTGTAGGCATTATTATATTTTGTTATAAAACGATTCCAAACAGTTTCATTGAACAAAAATGTGAGAAGCAAGAATAGCGCGTTACAAGATAAAAATAACAACAGTCCATGGATTAAAATCGATATGCAAATGTTTAGCGCACGGATATTTGACACATCTAAAGACAACCAACAAAAACCAATGAGCACAGGGTAAGTTATTCGAAAAAAAATTTAAAAATCCAACAATGTGAGTTGGTTCCTCGCCTTCAATAGCTTAAGGGAGGAGTGACAGCTTACAACCAATGACATATCACTTCACAATAAATTGTCGATGAAGTGGATTAGTGTAAGACCACCGCTTCCACTGCAACACCTGTGTAAACTGCGATCATGCATCAGAACGTGTACTTGTATGTCTGTGACAGAATGAGCTTATATATATATATATATATATATATATATATATATAATACATGTAAACGAATGGAACGCGATTCCCAGCTTCGATTTGATTCTCAACACTGAAGATACAACTAATGAAAATCTCACACCACAGTGTCATGTCTATGGCTCTTTATTCTTCAGCGATGTTCTGTGTGATATCTCTTAGTGTTAAAATCTATGTCTAATTCAACAAGTAAAATTGACGCATATAACGATAAACTTACCCGAAGTCATGCGGAATTCGAGTGTAGAAATCGTTACATGCCGAAACCAATTGTTCTTCTAATTTTTGTCTTTCACTAGCATTGTTTTTAACGCGTTTGAGTCGACCTCTTGACTTGGTTTCCTTTTTAGCATCAGATGTCTGATTTAATGCAGACAAAGCGTTGACTATTTTGGAAATATTATTTAATGCTGTGTAGCCTGCACGAATCTGTGTTGTACTTAATTTTCCGAGGGGAGCACGACGTGAATCGTATTTTAATTCATGCATAACTTGTTCCATATTGTTTATATCACAAATCAATTGAATAAGTACCTGGAAAAGATTACTGAGTGAAGATGTGAACTGATGAATATACAAAGTGGAAATCTTAATTTAAGACGTTGAGAAGGCTTGAAGCTTGATAGCAATGGAAAAAGACAAACAATCAGGCATCGGTTTTAAGATGTATCAGCTAACGTTGCTGATTGAAATCTAAGCTAAATTACGACAAGAAACCAATTTCTGAACTACAGAGCTGGCTAAAACCATTGTGGTGTATCACAGATTTTGTCACAAATGTGTCTTCTTGCTGTCGTCGGGACAATTAGAAACTGTACTTACATCACTCAAGCAAGTTTTGGTTAGCTAAACAGTAGGACGCGGAGACTGGCTTCCAGCGTTCAGAAAACAACACGTCCGGTTCGCTTGTTACAAAACCCAACAATCATTCGTTATGAATTATACAGAGCTGCAGACCCTAAAGGAGTGTTGTTGAAAATTTGTGAACAGTCAGGATACAAGACATTTACTCAGTTATTCGTTCCTGAGTTGTACGCAGTTGGAAAGATACCGACGAAATAAAATGAATCCGTTTTTATCCTGCTCCATCCCTTGTATTACTTTATTCAAATTCATTAAGGGGAATTCGTGTGTGGAATTTCTTAAGAATGCCTTCTTCATTTGTTCAAATCTCCGAATTATCTGGTGACAATAGGATTCCCAGAGAAGTCACTCATTCGAAGTTTCATGATGAGTATCTAGGGTTATGCTGCTTCCCTCGGCAATTACTGAAATCTCCCAGTGCATACAAACTACCTTCATCTATCAAAACCCTACGACATACCACGAAGTGTCATATTGAATCTTCAAGATCGCCTATAGAAAAACTGAGGTCTGAAACCAATCTGGATGTTCTCAGTAAGTTTATTGCCTCGTTGGATGCGAACTGCCTATTCACTAATCTACATCCTTATAAAACTGTGTAGCTTATATGCCAGGATTCTGATCATCTTCCCATGTCACTTTCAATATTCAGATGCTTTTTATTGGTGTGTGTGTGTGTGCTCACGACTTTCAATTCCAGTTCAACAACATATTCTACCACCAAATTGATGGATTAGTGAAGGGATGGCCACTAGGCAGATATTTTCACGGGAATCTGAAGAAGAGAATAGTAAGAATTCATAGTTGTATCCCACATCTCGCTTTGATTCTCCATCGACAATCAACTTCACTGTAAGTTGTTTGCTGTCACATTTTAATAGCATATTTAATGGTCAGTGACGAGGTGGAATGCCAGTCTATCCAAGGAGGTTCGACAAGCCAGTAATGTTAGCCAGAACAAACCACAAATGACTTGCAGCCACAGACATACAACCATACAGAACCGCTAAACTATATTTATTTCATTGATTATAAGATCATGTAAATCGTACTTGGTACCACCTACTGAGTGCTAGAGAATAATGTTCAAAGTATCATTAGTCCGATATCGTTGCCTAAAATCCAGAAGTGTTATATTTTATTACGACCACTTTATCAGGTACTAGACAGATATCTGGCACGATTGTAAACTGGTTGAAGTTCATTTAGACTCTATCATATTATTATAATCACTGAAATGCTTTGTACACCTGGACAAAATAGCTGTATGACCGACTGAAGCAAAACAGATGAACCCAGTGAAAACTTATCTGTGTATTTGACTTCATTTACGAAAAAAAGCAGTAATATATAGCTCAATAACCCGCATGATTTATAATCTTTGCTTTGCATTAAGTACTTCCCGAGAAAGGTCAGTGACTGCTAACAACTTACCAACGCTAAGGTGTCTAGAGAAAACTGTGATCAAGATACTATGACGAGTTTTGATAATGCAAATTCCGGCTGACTTCATACTCACAAAGCTAGATGCTAGAACATCGAAAGAAACAATTTGCTTGCCTTTTCCATTTGTTAGAAAATACAAACCTCAGGGTTATAAGGTAACTTACACAATGTCCACTTTTCGAAATGATTAACTGCCAATACAGAACTAACCTGGACTGCAACGGGAAGTCGGGACTTAACTTCTTTAGCTTTCTTCTTTTTTGGTGCTACATTCTGCTCCTTTAAGATAAATAACATCCCATTAGATTAACACAAACACTTACTTGAACACCATAATCCAACTCGACCATATCATATTTGCCATTTTGTTTTTCGAAATTGGCTCTATCTTCCCAACGATTAAGAGTTTTATCGAAAAACCTACAATTAAAACTACGAGAAGCTTGACGTACTTTCGTTCGAAACAATCCTTAGCAGCTTGTAGGTTAGAAGAGAAACTTTCAAGTTTATTTTGACCACATTTCCCTACACGCCCCCACCGGAACCAAACAGAATAATTGTTCACATTGTCATCTTTCAATAATTGTATAATATAGTATTTATTGTTATTATTTTGTACGTTGGTCTGAAGTTTTTTTAACAAACACCATAGCTATTTAACAACGCCTTTACCTGGTTTAACAAAACATCGTAAACGTTATCGCCTTCAAAGTAAACATGAGCTACATTGATTTTTCCTACACACTCAGGGTCAACAGGAGCTTTCCCCTTGCAAATCACACTTTTGACTGTTCTCGTAATCGACTGAAAGTGAGAGCAACTAACCTTTTTTGCAACTCTCATGGTCACTCCCATCACTGTTGTCAAGTTGATGACTCTTCAGAGGGCGCTTCATCAATATGCACAGTCCAAATATGGTACTTCAAAGATGAAAAGCAAACAGAAAGTTACAAAAATAGTATAGTATAACCTGTGAAACTAAATAATATACGAAATGAAATTGAAAAACGCAAACACAAACTCAAATACATGATCAATGACAAAGATTACACAATTATTCTTGAAACATCCAAAAAAGCTAGAGAATCTGCATTAAGAAAATCAAAAAACACACAAATCAAAAAATTAAACAAACTAATTGAAGAAAAGAACACAGCAAATGAAATTGATGTCAGTGCTTCAACCTCTATCGACAAAACAAAGTGGGTGATCAACCTCTCATCAAGGGAACTAAGCCCTAGTGAGATAAAAGTACTGGAGAAAGGACTAAATTTCAACGTAACAGTTAATAAATTAAAACCAGAGGATGTCATTCCTAACACAGAAGTAGCACTAGGTTCAATAGATAAGACAACAGCAGAAGAGGTTCGAGCACAATGTGCATTAACCCTAAAAAATCAAAAGAAGGCAAAATCAAACTTAACAAGATCGGAAAGAGAAGCTTTAATTAGTCTAAAACAGGATAAAAATATTGTCATCGCAAAAGCTGACAAAGGAAACGCCACCGTAGTTTTGAATAAATCTGACTATATCAAAAAAGTTACTGAACATATTCAAACGGGTCCATATGAAGAAATTAAGAGGCCTGTAGATACAATAATGAATAAGGTTAAAAAATCCACAGCGGAATTAGTACGCAGAATGAAGCCGTCACTGGGTGAGTCAAAATGGTTTAATTTAACGCCTAAAACTAATAATGCTAGTAGAATGTATGGCACTATTAAAATAGATAAGCCAGGTTACCCCATACGACCAATAGTAGATTTCAGAAATATCCCTACTTATGAATTATCAAAACACTTAGCTCTAATATTATGCTCCATTAGAAATCGTTCAAACTCTAGACTAACTAATTCAAATGAGATGAAAAATAAACTAAATGACATTCAACTAGAAATGATGAAACAATGGTGAGTTTTGATATAACCGGTCTTTATACTAATATACCAGTCAATATGGCCTTAGAAGCAGTTAAAAAAGAACTAACTGCGGATCCTGAACTCAATCATAGGACAAAGCTGTCCATTGAAGAAATTATTTTAGGGATTCAGCTATGCCTCACATCTACTATATTTACATTCCAAGGCAAAATATATAGACAAACTGAAGGTGTAGCAATGGGATCACCAATATCCCCCATCGTAGCAGCTATATTTATGGATAGCTGGGAAAATATGGCACTTAATACGTTTAATCCTACTCCAAAAATATGGTGGAGATATGTGGATGACACTTTCACAGTGTTAAAAACAGAACATATCTCTAGCTTCTTGACACACATAAACTCACTAGTGGAGGGAATAAAATTCACATTTGAAGCCGAAAATGAGCAAGGAGAATTAGCTATGTTAAATTGTAAAATTAAACGAATAGAAGAAGGCAAACTACACACTAGTGTTTATAGAAAACCAACGCATTCTAATAGATATTTAGACTTTAATTCATCTCATCCTTTAACTGTTTAGGCAGGCTTAGTTAAGTGTTTAACAAACCGAGCAATGGCACTAAGTAGCACAAAAAAAGACCTAAATGATGAAATAAAACAGATAGAAGAGGCGTTGGTTTTAAATAACTATCCTCTAAAATTCATTAGGAAGATTTAAAAACGCCAAAAGAAAAATAAAAAGAATTGTGAAACTAGTAATAATAACATAAATAAGAGAGAATATAAGTCATCTACAGTTATACCATATAAAGAGGGGACATCTGAGACCCTAAGTAGGATTCTAAATAAAGCAGGAATTAGGGTGGCATTTAAACCTACAAACTCACTCAGGGACAAGCTCTGTACGTTAAAGCACCCTCTTGACCCAATTAGACAACATAATATAATTTACAAAATACCCTGCAATGACTGTGAGGTCAACTACATAGGTCAAACTAGTAGATCAGGGGTAGTGAGATTTAGAATAAGAATTTAGCTAAGGTAAGAATGATTGACCCCGCAAACATAAGTAATTTAGAAAAAAGCTCAGCACTACATTGCAATGCATGCATTAACACACAACCACACAATAGGGTGGGAGAGGGTTAAAATTCTAAAAAGTAATCTAGGTAGGTGGAGAGAGAGGTTGATTACTGAATCCTTGTTCATCGAATCTACACCCAACACATGCAATAGGAATGAATCATCACTCATACCCGAAATATGGGAAATAATACTACCAATCAAATCAAGTGAAAAACAATGGAACTATATAAATGAATTTAGGAAGTCGTGTGATTACCTTGATATGATTATGAGCAATAAATTGTGCTCGAAACGTCATCGGTAAATATTACTGTATAACACTGTGAGACTATCAAAATAAAATTTATCCATAATAGTATAACCTCTCGATAGAAGAATGTTCTTCAGAAGTGGACAATATTTCAAAATATTAGCTTAGTCATTATCGTAGTCAGTCCAATCTTAAGGGATAACCTATTGATGGTTCTGTTGAATCGTGTTCATTAAATTCAATTGCCAATAAGCTAATAATTACAAGGCAAAACTTGAACAGAAAACAAGCAATCGCACTTTTTCACCCCATGTTAGGTAAAGAACAAGATTTCTCCACTCCCTATCATCTTCAAATTTTTAGAAATGTTCACCAATCTGGTGCCATTTGAATCTCAAGTTTTTCTTCTTTACATCAGCTATCCATTCGATATACTGGAAAGAATCGTGACATGAACTGGTGCATGTCTGTTCAAGGTACTACTCCAACTTACCTCTACACAATATACGTCGATGGTCTTATTTATAGTCTTTGTACTGAATTCCTAATTTAGAATTTCCACATGAAGTGCATTTCTTTACAGAAAAGAAGCCTAACACTGTTGAAAATTTATTTGGCATCAGATCCAGAGTTATTGCATATATAGTAGTACTGAAAATAGTGTTTCAAGTTAATTTAAATCTTGTGCATCTGGTGGATTATTAGCTCAGGGCAGGCAAAAAGTATCCACTTAAACCATGGAAAACGATCCAGTTGGAGAATTTCTCGCGGGTACAAACGTGGGAACAATTCCGGGTGACTCTAAACTATAGCAGACCAAAACAAAACTGTCTCCAGCCACCAATGAGATGCGTAATGCAATCTAAGGATTGGTTACATAGGATAGTATCCTTGTATATGTTCCAAAAAATCCACCCGATTTCTCACAGTAGTCTTCATAGTCACCTTAACCCAATTTCTGTACATAAATTTGTCAAAGAGTAGTTAGTTTTTCAAAAAAAATATTGGGTAAAAAGAGGGTCAAAAAGTGGAGAGAATTTGAAAACGTGAGTACTTCGTGTCGCATGTTACCCACCCTTCATCTAGTTTTCAAACGATTAGAATTGGCGGCACAAGTGTACGATAGACACCAAAGTCAAATGACCTTGAACCGACCAATCAGATCGTTCATCATTCATAAAGAATGCTGTTCATGAACTTCGTTGCAAGTTTCACCCAGATTTGTTTTTTGACTTCTGTGTGGAAAATGGGTTGATAGGGAGGTCTAAAACCTATATATGTGGAGGGATACGCATTTAGATGCAACCACTGTTATATGAGGAAATCTATGGGAGTTGGTAAGTCGTACATTATGGTGATTTTTTAGATACTTTCTTCTGCAAATCGAAACTGTCCCCTGGTAAAATATTGCGTATATGCCACAACTGGCTACTAAAGCTACCGGTATCTGATACAGTTAAAGAAACGGAGAATACAAAGATTTCATTATTGTAGTGATATCAGTACTGTCGTGATATTGCGTCGCAAAAGTTAAATGGGATCACTTCTGTAATCGGGGGAGTTGGTGTTGTCGTGCATATTGACGAAACCGTATTTACTAAGCGAAAAATGAATCGTGGCAGGAGTAGAGCAACTCATGTTTAGCTACTGAGACTTTACGACACAAATCTTCGTAAAGGGTTTATAGAAGTGCTGATGTCTTAATACCAACTGTATAATGAACAGCCCCCCCAGGAACTGCCACTCACACAGACGTTTGGGGGGGTTATTCTCAATTATCATCACTAGGCTATATGCACCAAACTGTCAACCATTCTTCTGAGGTGGTGGATCTCGGAACAGGAACACATACAAATTCTATTCAAGGATTTTGAGCTCGCTTCAAAAAACGTATCAGAGCGGTTAACGGTTCCAGAAATTATATAGTACATACCCAATAAGGTGAGGTTTTGTATCGACCCTCGTTTGATATGTCCATAACCACTACTTTGCGAAACTCAGACAAGTTTTAAAGAATATTAGAAACATTAGTCCTGTAAAATTCATTTTAAATAGATATATATTATCAATACACTTTTTATTATTTTAGCTGAAACAATCTGATTGATATGTCGCCGAATTGATCATTTCGACTATGATTCCCCAACTTTTTCTATGTGCATTCTCCACCTTGGAATGGTATAATGAACAGTGAGCAGGCACTTTCATATATTTTGCATCAGATACTACGCCTGACGGAAACTCAGTGAAAGAACTTTGGAAGAATAGGAGTCTGAAGTTCTGTTAATATATTTGGGTGATGACAACTCAAATTCACCTCGCCTACTTCCCGCGCCTTTCATTAGCTAGAACACTGGAGGTCATTTGGTATTTGATTCTCCGCAGATAGGAGTGAGGATTAGGGCTATTTCTGTGTATTTTCGCTCATAGTATGGGATATCGTGTTCATGCCTACAGAGGCATTATAAGCGTCTGTTCTTGTGAAAATGGGGTCTTAATAATTTTTAGTCTTCTACGGTCGAGAAAAGCGATATTTTCTTGTATTATGCTCGTTTTAATGCGAAAATTTGTCTTGATATCCCAGACGAATCATCACAAGAAAGGGCGTGCACTTAAAGAAATTATACATAGAAATGACTTTGATTTTGTTTGGAAGTGTCAAATGTTTGATATTCGCCAGTGGTTTTAGATTTCCAGGTTGTAAACTGATTACATGCAGTGGTTAATGTCCTAGCAATTATTCTGCAAGATTCGGGTCTTGATAGAGAATAAGCCCACAGACATTAGTCAAATATCTGTTCTGAGGAACTTCAGCGTTTTAATTTTCTTCGGTGATGGATAAAATCACTCCTGATAAGCCAGTGTCAGGTCAGTTCTTCAGTATGGGTTAGAAACTAACTGCATGATGAGAAGCATTTCCAACAGCCAACCGCAAACTTTTATCAACAGCTGTCTTCGTTCTATATTGAAGATCAAATGGCTGGCCGGAAAGCATTAGCAACAAAAAACTATGGGAACAAGTCAACCAAGATCCTATCGTCTAACAAATATGTAGGGGGAAAGTGGGGATGGATTGGGTATACACTGAGGAGCCAATCAAACGACATTACACACCAGACCCTCGAGTGGAATCCGAATGGGAAGCGACGAATGTGTCGTCCTAAGGTGATGTGTAGGAGATGGTGCAAGGGGGAGAAGAGAGATAATGGGCAATCGTGGACCAAGCTAAAGAGGACAGCAGAAAATTGAACAAAGTGGAGATGTGTAGTTGAAGCCCTATGTTCCACCCGGTAACCAAAGGAAGAATAATAATAGTATACAAGCTTTGTTGCGTCATACACTGTGTCCAGATTGGTTATATATAGCGGTGGTTATCAGTGACTACGAACCCGTCCGTCTCTGTGCATTTCTCGAGTTGTTTTTACATATGTAATATTTATGCGTCAATAGTTTTCAATCATGTGGTCTAATATTCTATCTTCCTTGAGAATTGAATGTGACAAACGGTAGCAATAGTAAACGCAAACATTTATTTAGAATTCTCCAGAGCACATTCCAATGTCATAGGCTTTGTTTTAATTTGTACATGTAAATTGGCGCGAACTCCATTTTAAGCCTTTCTCTTTGTCTCCTTTTTCCTTAGATAACCTTTACCCTATATTTAACTCAAATATATGGCGTACATGAGTGCTTTTCCCTTGTAGCCAATTCTTTCTAATTTGAGTTTTGTCGTCAGTTCCTGCAGGTTAGGTGGAGTACTGAATTACTGGATGCATAGGTAAATCGTGTTAAATAGGTAGCAATAATGGATGAAATTTACGAAGCTTCTCCTAGAAGTTCATCACAGTTAATCAGTATGAGTGTAATCAGTTGTAATGCAACCAAATGTTTTCATGAAATTGTACTGTGGAGACCTCTACTCACCTGGCAGGGTGTTAAGAATTCACTCAAAAACATCCGAAAATCGAGAAACGTGAAAGCATATTTGTTATGAAGTTATTATGGATCTCATGTGTATTAATTTTAAGGATTTCGAGTCAGATTCTCAAATCTTTCAGGATGGTGATAAAATTTCATTCGGAAGAATACATCAGAAATTAGCTGACGAGAGGGTGTTTTTCGACCTATGAGCAAATCGAGCTCTGTAAACAGTTTGCAGAGATTGTAGAAATTGATTCTACGTCAAGCACAAACTAAGGAAACTAATTTCACACGTTTATTAATAACAATGTTGTCAAACTTTGTTGTAAATTGTCACAAGGCATAACTTTGGATACGGGCGTCATGTCCTGACGCTAGAACTGAAAATAAACCTAAACATGACGAAGTTTGGGTGCTCGATGGTTTGCGTCGAATGATGTCTGTTACTGTTATCATGAAGCGTGCTCTGTCTGAACCCGTAGAAGTCAATTTGTCTCATCAGAAACCACAGATTGTGTCAGGTTCCTTTCATATTTGTCATTCTTTCTGCAGAATGGGAAGCTTATCTTCTGCGGATTTCAATGTTTACATACATATGAGGAATCCTATTGTGGAGAATTACTTATACAGGCCGGAGAAGCGTGGAAGGTGGGAAGAGCAATGCACTGAATGTTCTCACTCCTTAGATTTAATTCCTATTTCATAATCATAAACACTGAGTTTCTGGTGTCGGCCAGTACAGCCAAAGGCTTTGGATAATCGAGGAAACTTATAGGCAGCAGCTGCCAGCTTTCAATTGCCAGAGCTCCGGGAACTCCATACGAAAGCTACCAAGATATGAGACCACAACAAACGCAAGTACAACCATAGGAGCTGATAACGTTTTCATTAAACCGCTGAGCACATCTTTTTAACGAGTGTCTTTAGCTCAAAGCAAAATTACGGTGAATAAACCAAATCCCTAATGGAAACCTGCAAAGTGAATGATGGCAGATAATTTGTAAAGCATTATGGGATTAACTGCTAAAGACTCTGTGGCTAATAATACTGGATGAAGATTTCTAGAATTCAAGTATGATACTTTTATTTTTCAAAATATATAAATGTCTATATGTTTGAACCCTCATATTCACCATGCATACGCCAATGTTTCGTTGCTTGAACCCAAACAAAACGGGTCGATTTATGCAAGAAAGGCTATTGTTATTGGGGTTAACAGCTCCTACAGACGAATAAAACTATTCATAGGGAATGAGAATGTTATTCCCAGTGGTGTATTTAAGACTGTATATATGGATAAGAAAATCTGGTCTGCTTGGCTATTGAGATAGATAGGGTAGTAATAAGATAGGTTAGGACGAATCCGAAAATTTCGAGTCAGTTAAATATACATGCAATATAGAGGATAAGTGTCCTGATTTCAGAAAATTATATGAAAGCGTGAGACCCGAAGTACCTGTTGTCACTTAAGTATAATTACGATTGGACTCATCTTCGATGGAGCACGTTGCTTTGGTCGCAAATCAGGTAGGGCATTTGAAAACGCACTGGAATTAAGTAACAGTGTCCGAGGATCACGATGGCAATTGTGGAGCTGCGAGTTGTAGAAATAGATTGAAAAAGGGTGATGTAACGAGAGAAGTTATGCAAAAGTTTTCTAAATGCCTGCTAATCGTGGAACTAACATCGATCAGATTATGTAACTGTTTCTTTAGTGAGCTTAGGCGGCTGCTCACGATGCATCAGTTACACACCTTATGCTTGTTCCATCTGTTTTGCAACTGGTATTTCACAGGAGGCAGAGAATAAAGCTAAACTATTTACTTTCAGTTACTAGGCAACAGTGGCCATGTAGACATTAAATCAGTTTCCTGGTCAAATACGTGGCGACCATATACATCAGGAATCAGGAATGCAAGAGTCCTAACTGGTTAGATGGTTGACAATGGCTACCATTTCTTTGAAGGATACGTAAAATTTGGAAGCGCATTGCAAGGACGAATTCCAACTACAAGTGTTTTCACTCCCCTATGTGGCATTTTCCAGCCTAACAGCCTCTCAGTAATCCTTGTAGTACATCCGGCTTTTAATATGGACTGTTTTTCGTAGTACGTTTTCACAAGCAAAGAAGTGAATCCATAAATAAAATTATGTATTCGGTAAACCCTTTAAAACGCACATTGTAGAAGAGTTTAGAATTCAAAGGGT